TTTGAAAAGGACATACAAACAACTGTTCCATGAGCAGACATCCTACACAAAACGGTTTAAAAAAACAATTTTAATTCAGAAAAAAAATGGTAGTTAATGAGTATAGTTTGTGGTATGTGACAGGGAACTGTTTGCCCTCTCATTGCCCTCAATCAGTATCAATGGCCTTGCATTAGATTAGCATTTACCAATTAGCCAAACCACAAGAGTAACCTTCCTTCCCCTCACTGATTATTTGGCAAGCTCAACTCTGAAGGACACAACCTAGGTTGTTCCTGCAGTCTTCTTCTCATGTGGCAGTAGTCCAAATCAGATGTTTCAACACACACACACACACACACACAGCCAGCTTTCAGGTGAAAATATGAGACTGTCCACGACCTTCAAACCAACAACTCATCAGTTGTGAGGAGAGTACCAGTACTAGTATCCTTTCTGAAAACGTAATTAGTGGTATAAAGTCGTGCTACACAACAGCAGCTCAGGTTCCAGATGATCGGGGGTATTTGTCTGTCAGTAGAGACGCAGTCAGGCAGGCTGAGAGAGGGATACCAACATGACTATTTACTCTGCTGCCTATTGTCTAATGCCAGCTGCCACTGGGATGACTGCGGTCTCAGCTGCATGTGCAAATTCCTCTAATCCAGGCAATATGGCACCCTAAAACTGCAACATGGCATTAATATATCTAATCTGAAACTAAACACATTTTCGAAAGCACTCCCGAAAGAAGAACCAACACCTTCTGACGTTTTTCAAAGGGCAAATATGCCTTATAATAAGTGGTGATGAGTCAATCTATTTTCCTCAAGAGGCTAGATATTTGTTTAACTATTATCAGGTGATCTACTTGAAATATATTTTTATTTTCATTATTGGAACCATGTTACAAAAAATACTGAGTCGTTTCAATAGTAAGCATTTTTGTCCATATACAGTGGGGGGGAAAAGTATTTAGTCAGCCACCAATTGTGCAAGTTCTCCCACTTAAAAAGATGAGAGAGGCCTGTAATATTCATCATAGGTACAACTATGACAGACAAAATGAGAAGAAAAAAAATCCAGAAATCACATTGTAGGATTTTTTATGAATTTATTTGCAAATTATGGTGGAAAATAAGTATTTGGTCAATAACAAAAGTTTCTCAATACTTTGTTATATACCCTTTGTTGGCAATGACACAGGTCAAACGTTTTCTGTAAGTCTTCACAAGGTTTTCACACACTGTTGCTGGTATTTTGGCCCATTCCTCCATGCAGATCTCCTCTAGAGCAGTGATGTTTTGGGGCTGTCGCTGGGCAACACAGACTTTCAACCCCCTCCAAAGATTTTCTATGGGGTTGAGATCTGGAGACTGGCTAGGCCACTCCAGGACCTTGAAATGCTTCTTACGAAGCCACTCCTTCGTTGCCCGGGCGGTGTGTTTGGGATCATTGTCATGCTGAAAGACCCAGCCACGTTTAATCTTCAATGCCCTTGCTGATGGAAGGAGGTTTTCACTCAAAATCTCACGATACATGGCCCCATTCATTCTGTCCTTTACACGGATCAGTCGTCCTGGTCCCTTTGCAGAAAAACAGCCCCAAAGCATGATGTTTCCACCCCCAGGCTTCACAGTAGGTATGGTGTTCTTTGGATGCAACTCAGCATTCTTTGTCCTCCAAACACGACGAGTTGAGTTTTTACCAAAAAGTTCTATTTTGGTTTCATCTGACCATATGACATTCTCCCAATCCTCTTCTGGATCATCCAAATGCACTCTAGCAAACATCAGACGGGCCTGGACATGTACTGGCTTAAGCAGGGGGACACGTCTGGCACTGCAGGATTTGAGTCCCTGGCGGCATAGTGTGTTACTGATAGTAGGCTTTGTTACTTTGGTCCCAGCTCTCTGCAGGTCATTCACTAGGTCCCCCCGTGTGGTGCTCACCGTTCTTGTGATCATTTTGACCCCACGGGGTGAGATCTTGCGTGGAGCCCCAGATCGAGGGAGATTATCAGTGGTCTTGTATGTCTTCCATTTCCTAATAATTGCTCCCACAGTTGATTTCTTCAAACCAAGCTGCTTACCTATTGCAGATTCAGTCTTCCCAGCCTGGTGCAGGTCTACAATTTTGTTTCTGGTGTCCTTTGACAGCTCTTTGGTCTTGGCCATAGTGGAGTTTGGAGTGTGACTGTTTGAGGTTGTGGACAGGTGTCTTTTATACTGATAACAAGTTCAAACAGGTGCCATTAATACAGGTAACGAGTGGAGGACAGAGGAGCCTCTTAAAGAAGAAGTTACAGGTCTGTGAGAGCCAGAAATCTTGCTTGTTTGTAGGTGACCAAATACTTATTTTCCACCATAATTTGCAAATAAATTCATTAAAAATCCTACAATGTGATTTTCTGGAGAAAAAAAATCTCAATTTGTCTGTCATAGTTGACGTGTACCTATGATGAAAATTACAGGCCTCTCTCATCTTTTTAAGTGGGAGAACTTGCACAATTGGTGGCTGACTAAATACTTTTTTTCCCCACTGTACTTCTAATGTAAGGGGTTCCTTTATTGACAAGACAAGTTGGCATATTCAAACATGTTCTGGTATTTAGTTTTAATTTCTGGAAATATTAATAGCCTGAAGATTGGTTTGAATTTGTGATTTATGGGGCATGTGAAAATAGCATATAGAGAGCAATAGTAATCGCGTATTTTTGAAGGCACTAACTCTGTCATGGCTCGTTGGACAAAGCCTATGGGGATTTTTTATTTTATTTTTGTAGGGTTCTTGGATAAACGCCGAAAATAAGGTATGTGGTTGGTAAACACAGGCTTAGAAGATCTTATACGTTTTGTTCTATGATATAATCTTCATCAGCTAATGTCAATTTTTGTATATGTTGAAGCATTTATGTAATTAAAACAAGCACATAAAGGCTTCATAATTCATAAAGGTCAGGTTAACAGACTGATATCATCTTATAGAACAAAACGTATAAGATGTCCTAAACTGTGTAAACCCCATTCTTTCCCCCAATATGAACGGTAATGTCTAGATGGGATACAGCTTTTCAAATTGATGTCAAAAGTCGATTTTTTTGTGCATTTTAGCTAACCCCAACCCTTTTCCTAACCTTAACCTAATTCTCCTAACCTACTTCGTTAACTCCCCTAACCTGCTACGAAAAGTCAATTTTGACAAAAGCTGTACCCTTCTAGACAAAACCCATAGGAATGGCTGAACGAACCAGAGGTAACTAACTTTTGTTTTTTAGGACTACAAGCTGGGGAGCTCTGTTAGGGGTTTGTGAATGGTGATAATTATTTAAAGAATGGCAATTGACTGTCCATCATCATGTAGTAGCCTAGGCATTGAAAATAGCTCAAGCGCTGACAGAATGCTCCCGGTTTCCACTAGATAACACACAAAGTCAAACTTTGTGTCAAACACAACAGTGGTAGGCCTGATCACTGACAACGATGAGACAGCCTATAGGGAGGAGGTCAGAGACCTTGCCGTGTGGTGCCAGGATAACAACCTCTCCCTCAACGTGATCATGACAAAGGAGATGATTGTGGACTACAGGAAAAAAAAGAGGACAGCATCGACCGGGCTGTAGTGGAACAGGTTGAGAGCTTCAAGTTCCTTGGTGTCCACATCACCAACAAACTATTATGGTCCAAACACACCAAGACAGTCGTGAAGAGGGCACCCCCTCAGGAGATTGAAAATATTTAGCATGGGTACTATTTAATGAAGCTGCCAGTTGAGGACCTGTGAGGCATCTGTTTCTCAAACTAGACACTCTAATGTATTTGTCCTCTTGCTCAGTTGTGCACCGGGGCCTCCCACTCCTCTTTTTATTCTGGTTAGAGCCAGTTTGCGCTGTTCTGTGAAGGGAGTAGTAAACAGCGTTGTACGAGATCTTCAGTTTCTTGGCAATTTCTCGCATGGAATAGCCTTCATTTCTCAGAACAAGAATAGACTGACGAGTTTCAGAAGAAAGTTATTTGTTTCTGGCCCTTCTGAGCCTGTAATCGAACCCACAATTGCTGATGCTCCAGATACTCAACTAGTCTCAAGAAGGCCAGTTTTATTGCCTCTTTAATCAGCACAACAGTTTTTAGCTGTGCTAACATAATTGCAAAAGGGTTTTCTAATGATCAATTAGCCTTTTAAAATGATAAACTTGGATTAGCAAACACAACGTGCCATTGGAACACAGGATTGATGGTTTCTGATAATGGGCCTCTGTACGCCTATGTAGATATTCCATAAAAAATCAGCCGTTTCCAGCTACAATAGCCATTTACAACATTAACAATGTCTACACTGTATTTCTGATCAATTTGATGTTATTTTAATGGACAAATAAATTGCTTTTCTTTCAAAAACAAGGACATTTCTAATTGACCCCAAACTTTTGAATGGTAGTGTACATATTACCTCGACTAACCTGTGCCCCCGCACATTCACTCTGTAGAGGTACCCCCTGTATATAGCCTCCCTACTGTTATTTTATTTTCCTGCTGCTCTTTAATTTTTTTTAATTTTTTTTTTACTTAACACTTATTTTTCTTAAAACTGCATTGTTGGTTAAGGGCTTGTAAATAAGCATTTCACTGTAAGGTCTACACCTGTTGTATTCGGCGCATGTGGCAAATAAAATTTGATTTAATTTGACATATCGTACTAACTCATTCATGCGTTTTATGACTTTGTGGCTGTGTTAACTAGTGTCGATCAATGCGCTCTAAAGCGTTCCTAGACGGACATCATTTCTGTCCATTAAGAGGCGAGAATCAGTTGTGACGTTATTTCCTGGTACAAAGTTTATGTTCCTGTAGATGTATACTAGCAGAGATCTGTTTATAATGACGAGATGATCATGTCTCCACCCTAACAATGAGAGTCGTTGTCAAAAGCGGGAAGGCAGGCGACAAGGTCCAAAATAAGCACATAGAAACGCTATGGGCTTCTATTGAACAGATTTAGGCGATAGTGAACCGTCTCGCTTTGCTTCTTCCTCTCTGATTTTTGCTGCCGCCACCCAATGGCCGCCACCCAGAATCAGAGAAGACAAAAATGTCCAGCATCACATTTAGCTATATGAATAGCAAAACTACATAGAGCCTAAACTATTTACCGTTTTCTTAATTCTATGGAAACGTATTTTGAGAACGGAATTGGTACGGAAATCAAAATGCCTTGTCAAAATCAGCAGCTGAACAACAATGACAGACAAGAACACGCGGCAATGAGCGGCACCAAGCAGGTTCGGTTTGCTAGCTGCGGAAACAGCGTCCTGCCAGAGTCGAATAGAGATGCAGAAGTCCCCGAAACTTGTGAAAATGTGTTTAACAGTGAACTACAGAGGCAGATCGGATCGCAATTAAAACTGCTTCCTTTGAATGACCAAATACGAGAATTACAGACCATCATTAGAGACAAGTGAGTCATCATCTTTTGTCAAAATGATAGCAAACACAGTATCTGACACAGATAATGGATCTGTATTATCATGCACCAGATAACTGTCTAATAATGTGAAATTGAATGATGCATTGTAAACCAAGTGAATGGCCAATCGACACCATGTTACTATTTATAACTGTCATATTACACTGCACTTATATGGTTACGGTAGCCTTATATGTGGTCTTTGTTACCCAGAACTGTAAATACACCAGGTTATTTCAATGAAGAAGATGTAGGCCAAATGCCATTATAGTCTGCTCCATTACGCGGTAGTAGCCTAAACGTGGCCACAACTTCCTTGTCTAGCATGAGGTTTAATACAAATAATGTTAGACCTACTGACAACAATAGACAATACTGATAACAGAACATTGAATGAGTACACTAATCACAATTTGAGTTTCTGTTGTAAGCTGATTCCACGAATAGGCCTACAATGTTTTTGTGTGAAAGTGGATCATGCATGGATTTCCTCTTTTATGTAACCCTTACTGTAAGCATACATTTTATTATTGTTCTTTTACAGGTCTACTAGCAGGGGAGATTTTGTATTTTGTGCAGATAGATTGGTAAGAAACTGTCTTGGTTCAATTGACACTGTTGTTTTCACTCTAGGTCAACTACTAATATATTATAATGTTTTTAATTGAATGACTCATTTGTATAATGCACACTCTATTGTTTTGACCCACTCGGTTGGTCAACAGATCAGACTAGTGGTTGAAGAGGGACTCAATCAGCTGCCATACAGCGAGTGTACGGTGACCACTCCTACAGGTTAGACCTATTGGGTGAAATTAGTCAGAAATTATAGAAATTGGTTGAATACTATGTATTACAGGATAACTGTTACATTTCTCACCAAGAACAGAACTGTCTATTTTAATCTCCCCCCTCTCCTTCAGGGCATAAATATGATGGCGTCAAGTTTGAAAAAGGCAACTGCGGTGTCAGTATTATGAGAAGTGGTAAGGCACTGATCATATAGGATATTAAAGGAAGATACATCTGAATTGGTCTCTGAATAGAATCCCTGGCTGGTGGACTTGCCTATAAGCACCTGACATACCTAGTGCTATCCACTCAACTGTTTGACTTATCAGTTTGACTTGCTCACCATTACTACATCTTGTATGAGGTTTCCCTTGAATGAATTGAGTTGAATTAAACGTCTATTAATTGCTGTGTGTGTGTGTGTAGGCGAGGCCATGGAGCAGGGCCTCAGAGACTGCTGCCGGTCCATCCGTATCGGTAAGATCCTAATCCAGAGTGACGAGGACACCCAGAAGGCCAAAGTCTACTACGCCAAGTTCCCCCCAGACATCAGCAGGAGGAAAGTCCTCCTCATGTACCCCATTCTCAGTGAGTATGGATATACAGTACTTGTGTACCCCATTCTCAGTAAGTATGGAGAGAGTAGCACTCACATTCCCCATCCTTAATCACAGTCCAGGGGGATTACACACATGTAAACACAAAAGTCTTTACATGTCTTTAGGCCAAGCACGGTGTAAAACCCTGCCGTGGAAAAGCACTAACAGATAGTCTCAATACAGCACTAACTCCTCTTCAGGACAAAGAGTTCAGGTGAAGTGTTGCCCTGCCCTGGGCCTGAAGAACTGTCACTTTTTTTAATGAACCAGAAATGAGGACTTACTTGCTCCCATTAGCAAGACAATAGTGTAGTCATAGGCATCCACTGTTTTTATGAAGAACCCTAGACAGTGAGACCTTTCCACTTGATTTGCTCTTTGCTACACGATTTCTGTTAAATTACACCTTCCAGCTAAGATAATTGTGGGAAGGTGTCTTTTATTTGGTTCTGATAATGACCTTAGTAGGTAGCATGCTGCATATATTTCAGCATCATTTACCCCAAGAAAATAATCACAAGTATATCTGATTGGGGTAAACCATAACGAGCTCACTGCAAGGCCATGAAAATGATAAATAGGAGAAATGAAGCCACAAAGAGAAGTAATGTTCATATTTTTGTCCTCTAACTAGCATCCCTCTCTGAAACGATGAAAAACGTATTTGAGAGATCAAAATGACATTTTGTTATTTTATAGAAAGTAGCAGCAGATGAGTCATAGTAACAATCACAAGGCTAGTAAGGACAGACTTTTCTTCAATACTTCCATAATGTTGCCTGTTCTTCTGTCAAGTCACTGTGATATCTGTCCTGTGTTTTTGCTAGCTATACATGTTCTGCCTTTAGGTACAGGTAATACAGTGATTGAGGCTGTGAGAGTTCTGACTGAACATGGTCTCCAGCCCAAACATATCATCCTCCTGAGTCTCTTCTCCACCCCTCACGGTACACCTCACCTACAGTCCCTTGCTTAATATCGAAGTAGATTCTGTAATGTTCAAAATTCTGGGGTTTCATACTACAGCCTGTTGTCCATTCATTCAGTTTTATTGAAGGCACTACAAGTCTAATGGTTGTGTCATCTCACCAGGTGCCAAATCCATCATTCAAGAATTCCCAGAAATCACCATACTGACCACCGAGGTGCACCCTGTGGCTCCCACACACTTTGGCCAGAGGTACTTTGGGACAGACTAGTCAGCCCTCCAGGGCCATTCAATGGGACACCATACTATGAGAACCAACCATTGAATGGTCCCTCTCTCGGTTAAATGCGGAAGACACATTTCAGTTGAATGCATTCAGTTGTACAACTGACTAGGTATCCCGCTTTCCATTTTCCTCTCTGTCTGATGTCAGTTTGTCCACTTATTTCAAAAGGAGTTGTTACCCTGCTGAAGAATGTTGCTTTGCTGTGTACGCCGCCTTAACCTGTACTCCTCAGTCTGACAAAAACAATGCAAATATTTTCCTGGAAACAGAAAAAGCACATTCCATGCTGGTCTTTTAGGAACTAGTCTAGCGAGCTTGCATGTACTGCTGCCATTTTATTTATTCAGTTATGGTAATTCATTATATGTTGTTTTTCCTCATTTAGAAAGTCTAAATAATTCAAATAAATTTTTTCTATGTATTCTATTCAGAGTATGTGAGCGTAGTTGAGCGGTCGGAAATCCTGCTCACCGCTCCGGCGCTCCACGGCCTTTCCAGCCGCTCCACTAAAAACCGCTCCGCGCTCACAAAAACAAATAAATGCCGCTCCAAATTCGCTCCATTCATTAAAATCACCATTTAACCAACACCCATCTATTCTTTGGACTACCTGGACCTACCATTTGGTTTTTAAGTACTGAAACCAAACCATATGATTTGAATGAAAAGTATTTTAATAAACATGAAAAGGTGAATGTAAGAAGCGCTCATCATTTCAAATAGGCTACATGCCGTATTAAACATAATATAAACACTAAATAGGTCAGGAGCCAGACAGGGAGCCTATTTCAAGGATATAGCCTACAAAGAAATACATTTGCGAGAGCGACACAATAGGCTGGAAGGAACATAAAGGGCTCAGCATTTAAACAACATTTTGTTGTATTAAATCATTCTAGTCTATAAATTGCACATATAGGCTGTGACTTACTTAGAATTAAATGCAAATTAAAAGAATAATGCCTTATTAGGCTCAGTCTACAGTCTACAGTCTACAGTCTACAGTGCCTTTGAATTCATTTTTAGAAACACCAGTTTGGCCAATCTGTGGCTTCAGGCTCATGCTGAGAATATCCTCACCGCGCTTGCAGAGCGACTTGGGATGCTAAACACCCTTTTGGCCACTCTTGGCAGGCTGGGCAGAGATGCATAGTTGTATATATATTTTTTCTATACGTAGGCCTAAATGTTTTTAGGCAAAATAACCCAATCAAAACGGAAAGCTCCTTGAACGTTGGGCCAAAATCAATGATGGCCTATTGTATAGATAATAGAAAGAAAATGAATGAAATGTTTAAGAGATCTGATTTTTAGTTTATAAATACTTTGCTACAATGACACAGTTATCTACCCACCTCGTTCCTTTCTTTTAGCATGTGTCCTCTGTAGCTCAATTGGTAGAGCATGGCGCTTGTAACGCCAGGGTAGTGGGTTCGATCCCCGGGACCACCCATACGTATAAATGTATGCACACTTGACTGTAAGTCGCTTTGGATAAAAGCGTCTGCTAAATGACATATTATTATTACACCATCATGCTTTCAGGATACGTGTCTTTTCAGATTCCACAATGATTCTTTAGTTGTGGACACTAGATCACCACACTCCCCTTCTTGCTCCTCATCTTTGTAAGTCACCTTGATTTAGCACCTGTGTGTTTTATCAGTTTCTTTATGAAAATATTTAGCGAACTCCATGACAGTAGCTAAAGCAAGGGGCTATTAGCAGTACACAAGTAGACTACAAATGCATGCTGGGCCGGGCGTGCCCTGAGCTCCTGAAGTGAGTGCTACTGGAGCTGGCGAGAAGGCCGACACTCCCGCCTTTGGGAATCTCGCTCCGCGCTCCTGTCAAATTGGGCACGCTCCGCTCCTCGCTCCGCTCACATACTCTGATTCTATTGTCTTGTCTTTTTTTATTAGTGTTGTCATTATTATTGCCACAAACAGTTTTAATGTATCATAACACTCAAAAGAAACAAACCAATCAAGAGAAACTGACCAGATCTGAAGTGGAATTTGATGGAAGGCACAATTTGGTCATTTCAGAGTGGAAAAGAAGCTCAGAAATACATTGCCCTTTTGACATCTATGTGTAGTCAAGGAATCGTCAATCATATTGAAAAAACGTATACTTAACTGGAAAACAACCAATCCTCCATTGTTAACACAATGGAAAGGTCAAATGCTTTATTATCTAAATGTTGAAAGTGCGTGGGTGACAGAGAGAAACAAAATGGTGCCCTTTGAGGCCATGATGCGGGTGATGGAAATGGGGGTGTGGCCAGGTGATGTCGTTGAGGTTTCTGTGCATCTGTATGCAGTCGTTTGTACGTGTATGTTTTGTATTTGAAAAAATAAATCTTACAAAAAATAAAGAATACACAGATAAAACCCATATACAACAGTGAATGATTAACTACATTCTGATACAAATTATTCACAGTCTATTGGATGTATTGACAAAGCATATCCTTTTTCTTTCAGAGTGAGTTTGAGGATGGAATGTATCACTTTTGTATGGGAAGCAGAGTCATCTTCACATATGCCTGCCTGGCCCAAATGCTGTTGAGACAAACACAAACAAAAGTTACTACTAGCTACAAAGAAGTAAAGGTTTTGAACATATTCCTCATATCATGCAAATACTTTGAATAAAACATGTATTATTGACACTGACACAGCGTGAAGTCCCTCACCAGATTCTACCAATCCAACTTCATGGAATGTCTTTCTCCCCATGACTCACTATGGCTCCGATCCTATTGACGCCAGGGAGGTTTCTCAGAGGAGCTGAAATAATGCAATACATCAAATGAAATAAACACTCCAAACACAGACAGAAACAATACCTCTGCTCTGCAAACACATTCCCAGTTCCTTTTTTTCTGAGAAATTAGTATGCACTTTGTCAAGGACTCACCATGATAAACCCTATGGCCACTAGGGAGCACTACAACTGCATCCTTTCTGGGGTTTTCTGATGCCCTGGCATGATTTTCACATTGTGTTGAATGTCATTCTAAATAATATAATAATATAAGTCTTTAAGTGGCAAGTGTAGAGAGCATGATTGATTAAAAACAGTCACCAGTTAGTTCATCATGCACTGTGACAATTTGACTTCTACTAAGGATTATATCTGTCTGGGATATAGCGAGATAAAAATAACCACTTACATTTTAACAATTCATCAAATCTAAGAAGATTAATATCAGGAAATTGGATCGGATTCCTGTATATTAAGAGTGTACTTTCCAAGAGCTCAGAGAAAGAGAACATCCACAGACTATTTAGCAAGGCTACATGTCATACTAACCAACCTATCCTATTTCAGGACTGCTATTACATGTAGACTACCAATAGATACACCAGTGAACGAACATGTGGAGTGTCTTGATAATGATTGAGTGAGTACCCGTAATTAGTGTATATCAATATGTACCTCACAAGTCAATGAGTGTGTGTGGTTGTTACCGGACTGCCGGTAGTCATACGCTTTCGTATGAATTAGACATGAACAACGGATATGGTTATTTCCCAAAACAAGGAATCAGATTCAATCAAGACAAAGGCCCCATTAGAACAGCTTTAAATATTCACAAATGGGAGACTGCTTTTATATACAGTCATTTATTTATTCATTGACCACCACCAAGGTATGATGTCATTACTTGTCATTGTCAGCACAACTAGTCTCTTAGGTTTCTACCAAGTACTGTATTAGCCATTAAATGAGAGAGAAAAACATAACTTCCAGTTGCCATAGACACCTAGAAACTGTTTACCATATGATCCTTCCTATTGCTCCAAGGGCTCACTAAATGTATAAGCCATTCACCCAATCACAGGCAGATGAACAGTAGCTGGTTATGCAATCCTCAGGGGTGAGGCACTACAGAGCTCTTTTCTGCTGGAAAGTGTTCGGCACCGCTCCAAGATGTCCATCTACATTAATTGCCTTGGATTGGTAGCGGTAACTGTGAACTGTTTTATCTATTCTAATGACCAGGACGGTTTGACTGAGGGCCCATGCCAAAGCATCTTAAGGCTAAGTTCATCGTTAGAACCTATGGTTCTAGGCAACAGGATAGATAAGATAGTAGTAGCAGCGTATGTGGGGAGTGTGAATGTGAGTGTGTGTGTGGCGTCAGTATGCATGTGTGCGCGTGTTATGTGTGTGTTGGGGTGTCAGTGTAAGTATGTGTGAGTGTGTGCATAGATTCAGTGCAAGGGAGTTAGTGCAAAAAATAGCCATTTGATTAGCTATTTAGCAGTCTTATGGCTTGGGGGTAGAAGCTGTTCAGGGTCCTGTTGGTTCCAGACTTGGTGCACTGGTATCGCTTGCCGTGCGGTAGCAGAGAGAACAGTCTATGGCTTGAGTGGCTGGAGTCCATGACAATTTTTTGGGCCTTCCTCTGACACTGCCTGGTATTGGAGGTCCTGGATGGCAGGGAGCTCAGCCCCAGTGATGTACTGGGCCGTACTCACCACGCTCTGCAGTGCCTTGCGGTCGGGTGCCTTGCAGTTGCCGTACCAAGCAGTGGTGCAGCCAGTCAAGATGCTCTCAATGGTGCAGCTGTAGAACTTTGAGGATCTGAGGGCCCATGCCAAATATTTTCAGCCTCCTGGGGGGGAAAAGGCGTTAATTCCTTAGTGATGTGGACACCAAGGAACTTAAAGCTCTCGACCCACTCCACTACAGCCCCATCGATGTGGATGGGGGCGTGCTCGCCCCTCTGTTTCCTGTTGTCCATGATCAGCTCCTTTGTCTTGCTGACTTTGAGCATTTCATGGCTATAGGTGTGAGTACTACGGGGCGATAGTCATTTAGGCAGGTTATCTTGGCATTCTTCGGCATGGGGACTATGGTGGTCTACTTGAAACAAGAATTACAGACCATGTGTGGGCAGAACTGAAAAAGCGTGTGTGAAAAAAAGGTCTCTTCACAGTCCCCAAGTCAAGAACAGACTCAGTACTTTGTTGAAGCACCTTTGGCAGCGATTACAGCCTTGAGTATTCTTGGGTATGACGCTACAAGCTTGGCACACCTGTATATGGGGAGTTTCTCCCATTCTCCTCTGCAGATCCTCTCAAGGTCTATCAGGTTGGATGTGGAACGGTCTCTCCAGAGATGTTCGATTGGGTTCAAGTTCGGGCTCTGGCTGGGCCACTTGAAGACATTCAGACACTTGTCCCGAAGCCACTCCTGAGTTGTCCTGTTGGAAGGTGAACCTTCGCCCCACTCTGAGGTCCTGAGCGCTCTGGAGCAGGTTTTCATCAAGGATCTCTCTGTACTTTGCGCCGTTCATCTTTCCCTTGATCCTGACTAGTTT